AAAGAAATATGGAGAAATGAAATGTTATTTGAAGCTTATTTAAATCTAAAATTTCGATCCAACTAATTTCAGTTCGAATTTTGAATACCCTGTATGTTTTAGTGACACTCTAGCGGATGCACTTAGTCGTCAGTCCTCATACTAAAAAAGAGAAAAAAGAAAAATTAATAGAACGAAGAAGTGTTTGTTTCTACTATAAATAGAATAGACCCCTTGTATTTCACCACGCAATATTTGAACAGCTCCGCGATAACACATATAGAATATAAATTCGTAAGCCAAAAGAAAAGAATAAAATGCGTGAGTGTCGTTATTCTTTCTCACTGAAATAGTACGAACAAATCAGAAACGACCATAGTTCTGACATCTGTACGAATTTGATTGAATGCTGTAGTTTTCCAGTCGAGATACGCTACTAAAGAAATTTCTACTGAAGAGCGCTGGCTTCTTCGTGAAATGTGTAGGAGTTAGCGTTCCTCGGTAGAAATTTCTTCAGTAGCGTATCTCGACCATAGCGTCCGTAAAATATATTTTGTGTTTTGCAGTCGGCTAGTTTTTTGAACTGTTATTTGGAGCCAAAAGGAAACAATTCTTAGAATAGTTAGCCCTCAAAACTTTTATTCAATGAATTTGAGTTATTCGGCAACGAAGAATTGCACGAAAAACGTACACTTTTTCCATGCCAGTCCACATACCAATGCGTAAAATTCTTTCTTGAAACGTGTGTCGTGTCCCCGTAAAATTTACTGGTACGTGGCTTTTTAGAGAGAACGTCTGACTCGCGCGACATCTGCATTCCTTGTATTTTATTTGTTTTAAAACCGACTACTATAAAAATCATCGTATGACACAGGATTACAAAAGAATAGGGTAAAACTAAAGTTGCTATGTTTTATATTACAAGAAAAATAGTCTCTATTCATACTGGACTAGTCATTATCTAACGGTTAAAAAAGCACACGATAAAATACATCTATTTTAAATTGTACGTACAGTTTCTTCTTAGAAATACTCACTGTGTCAAGTCGAATAAAAAAAGTAGTTTTTTCAAACCATTTTTTCTTGTATGCCCCATTTACAAGTGGATATAGATTTTTGCGTGTTTGATTCTTTTTTAAAGTCTTCTGAACTTGGCATACGCTTTTGAGTATTCTTCGAATCCCTATATGAGCGGTAAAAACGAGTTTCGTACCTGCGAATGTGTGTCATATGCTGCTAGTAGGCCTACAAACAAACATCTAGTCTTTCAACAGAAGCTATGTCTGAAACTTAAGGGACGCCTGAAATACTCAGTTAGGGTCGAAATTTATTTCAGTTCCAAAAGAGTGTGTGAAATTATAACTGAGATAAAAAAATTTTATTCTGTTTTTAGATGTCTGAGACAAATATAAAATTTTCCAAAGAATACGACACTAAAAAACGTGGTCGCAGTCCAAGTCCAATCAGTGATCGGTAAGTTTTAACAAAAGTTTTTGTGTATTAGTGTGAGTAATATTATTGTTTTCATATTTTTAGAGCACAACAAACTCGAAATCATCGATCTATTGGAGAAACAGATAAAGATCGATCAAAGCCTTCGTTGTCTCATCGCTCACATTATCATTCATCAGCGAAGTCACGAACGCGATCAACAGCTCGTTCAAGATCCCCATCGCCTGATTCCAGGTAAAATTACAACAATTAATTCTTTTTTTGATTTTTATTATGCACATTCTTAATCACCCATCTGTTGTTTTTTTTTACTTAGTTTAACGCGCAAACGAAAGATTGAAAATGAAACAACAAAACGTCCTGTAGAAAAACAACAAGAAAGTAATGGCACTGCAGAATTCAAAGTTCCTGCCGCTGTCAAACGTGTTCCATTATCATTGGAAGAAATGGTCGAACGTAATCGAAAAGAACAAGAAGCAATTGCAAAAGTATGAGACACACTGATTGAATTTTTTTGCAGTTATACTCCTCTTCTAGAAAAGTTCTGACATTTAGTTCATACGAAAGAACTCAAATCTTACAACTTCGAGTACTCTTGTTATTTCTGCAACTGACAGACAAAAATCGCTTCTTTGTTAAGATGGTTCATTCCTGTTTAGAAGAAAACTCACGTAGTTCACTAAATCTTCGTATTCATTTCTAGCAGTTAACGGTAATTTAGAGTGCGATGTTAAAAACGCTTATAAATTTTTGTTTAGCTGAGTATATTGATAATATTTACTTTGTACATTGAACAAACTCTAAAATAAGATCTTGTAAGAGAAAGAAGTAGTTTTAACATAGAGCTTAAATTCACTAAAGAGCAGAGCCAAATTTTGGTCATATTTCCTTAAATACAGAGCTCGTGCTATCATCGAGAGTTTTTTACAATATTAATCCATTTAAGAAAAGATTCGATTTACAGCAGAATTTAGTGCTGAGTATGTTTAGAGTCAGGCAAATCCGTCTTATTGTATATCCTTTCTGGTTAGGCATATTACAATGTAAAATGTAAAGATAGGTTTGAAAGGAAAAACGGAATATTTCACAGCTAAATGTATAGGAATCACCATTCTCTATTTGGTCCCCGATGAGTATTTGACTTGAAAACATCAAACTGTTTCAATCTTTTTAAGTTTTATCGTTTAACCCTTATCTCCAATAGTAGTAAGTTTCACTTTTTTGCTCGTACCATCGAGATATTGCTAGTGCTAAGAGAAAGTTTTAGAGATTATGTTTTTTATTCTCATTTTGCAGCCTATAGTCCGAATTTGACAAGAAAATTAAAATCAACATATTGATTTTTGTCAAGTAGAAAATAGCCTTTTTTTAACTGATTCACTCTACATTTTATTTCAAGAAACATAAGATACACTTATTTTCCTCAAAGAATATCGATAGATATCTGTCTGTGTGTATGTATAATATAATCAAAAGAACCGAAGTTTTAAAATATAACACAAATTGGACGTTTTGTTGACAGAAAAAAGGAAACATTAAATTTTTTGTTTCTACAAAAAGCGAAAAGTGAACGATTTAATGCATCAGTCAAATGTTTTATTCAAATATTCAGTTTTTTTATCTTGCACAGACCAGTGGTTCTGTTTAGTCACATAGATTAGCCGAAAATGTTAAGAATGGAGTACCAGTTGTGAACATAAATTTTTTAGGATAATTTTACACAGCACGCCGCTAAGGTAATGACATTCTACCTACAAGTGCTTGTTAGTCCGACGGAATTGATTTTAACCAATAGCTGTGCAATAATCGAGTTTTTCGGTATCATGTGTGAAAAAAAGTTTTTATTAACTGAGCGTAGCTGCTGCTATACGTAAAGAGAGAGAAACTTAAAACTCTGGCTTCAAATAAGATGAAATAATGTCATCGCTATTTTGTTTCTTAAGGAACTACATCCTTAGTTAAACAACCTTCTTTACCAAGGTGCTCAATAACCAACTTGATAAGAATTAAGTAGGATTTGCTTGTTGCTTTCTTTTTTACGGATGTGTGAAGGAAGGACACGAAGCTCAATACTATCCTTTTTCCGAAACAACTCACTCCCGCTTCTGCAATATTTATTTCGTTCATAGACTAGAGACAACGGAAACTTGTCATTATATAGCGCTATAGATTCGACTATCTACGGTATGCTAGTTCATTAACCAAATTGAGCAAAGCAGTAGAAAAGTATATGAGTGAATGAATATCCATTGTATAATTATGTTCAAGATATATTGACTCCATGAAATCTGTTCCACTGAACTCATTTCAAATTTTCTGAACTCATTTCAGTTTTCTCCTCTTACCATCGCGTCAAGCCTATATGTCAAGTTTTATTTTTGAATCTTATATTCTCATCGAAATCTAACGAATGGTGTACACAACAATAATGTTTGGAATCATTTGAATCCCGTCTCCAAAAAGGCTTCAGAATTGTGGTACTTTTTGATGGTTTTTAAACATACGTCGAATTTCTTCGTCAATATCCAACCGAATGTAGGGAAATTTTTCTATGGTAAACTTCGAAGTAAGTATCTCGAATGTACCATTCAGACTTTTATAGTTACAAAACAGATTTTTTTTTTTCGAATTGTACAATGACTATGCTATTCATTCATATATTCATAGATAGTTTTTACAGAAAAAGAATTACCTCAGTCATCGTTAATCTTTTCTCTCGAAACTTTACTATACCAGTGTAAACTATATAAAATGTTTTTGTTTTAGCCAAAATTTCTCACAAAAGAAGAACGACAAGCTGAAGCCATGAAACGTCGTCAAGAGGAAGTTGACAAAATTCGAAAACATAATGACGATCTAAGACGAAATAGTCAAAATTTTATCAATAAAATTGAAACTGATCGACATGATGCTGAAATACGACAGCGTGATCGTGAAAGAGAACGTAATGCTCAAAGGCATCAAGAACGAGAAGGAGCTGAACCCGATCGAGAAAGAAATGACAGAGATAAAGGACGTCGTGGAGGCGGAGGTGACAGTGACAATCATACGTCATCATCAATGTCATCGTCTACGTCTGTAAGTACAAAAGAAGTCGATCGAAATCGAGAAGAAGAAGCTGTAAAAGAACGGTATTTAGGAATAGTGAAAAAGAAACGAAAGATTCGACGATTGAATGATAGGAAATTTGTGTTTGATTGGGACGTTGCTGAAAATACAGCAGTCGATTATAATCCAATTTATAAAGAGAAACATCAAATGCAATTTTTTGGTCGAGGACAAATTGCCGGCATCGATATTAAACATCAAAAACGACAACAATCAATGTTTTACGGAGAACTATTAAATATTAGACGAACACAAGCGGAAAAAGATCGTGAAGTGTAAGTCAACATCATTTCATAACTCATTTTCTTTTATTTCTCGTTGTTTTTTGTTTTTAAAGTGAACGTCTGAAAGAAGTTGAAGATAAAGAACAGAAAGTGCGCTATGATGAACGCCATTGGACAGACAAAACATTACAGCAAATG